TCTGATGATATCCCGCTCGAGCATCCAGGAAGTCCATTCGTTCATATCCGGCTGTGGCATCTACCAGCTGGTCCACCTTCGGCAGGGGGTAGTCGTCCTTGGGACATGCCTTGTTAAGATCTGTGAAATCCACGCAGACACGCCATTTCCCCCCTTTCTTTTTTGCACATACTGTATTGGACAGCCATTCTGGGAACTGTATCTCTCGAATGGCGCCAGCTCTCAGGAGTTTGTCTATTTCCTCATTGACCGCGTTGGTGTGATGCGGGGCCATACGTCGTGGCCTTTGCTTTACTGGCTTGTGAGATGGGTCAACATGCAGCCTGTGAGTAATTATTTCGGGGTCTACTCCTGTCATTTCCATTTCGTTCCAGGCGAACACGTCTGTATTCCCTCTTAAGAACCTGATCATCTCCTCCTGTTCGGCTGCGGGCATCGAGGTCCCAACTAGGAAATACTTCTCTTCTTCTCCTTCTACCAAGGGCACCTTCCGGAGGTCTTCAACCGACCGTTCCGCTGGGTCTACCCGGGGGTCATCCATCCCCGGACGCCCGGACTGTAATTGCTATTTTTCTATGATCTCTTCCGGTGCTCGCCCCTTCTCCTGGCCGGACGCTCCGGCTCGGACGGCCGAATAAAAACAGTTCTTCGCAGACGCTTGATCTCCCCGGATCTCCATGACGCCCTCTGGCGTGGCGAACTTCAACTTTTGGTGGAGAGTGGAGTGTACCGCTCCCAAAGCGTGTAGCCATGTTCGACCCATAATCACGTTGTAAGGGGAGTCCGTGTCGATCACCACAAACTCTGTGTCGATGACGAAGGGACCAGTGGCGACCGGTAATGTAATTTTCCCCACGGGCAAGGCGAAAGAGCCGTTGAACCCGATGAGGGGTGTCCTGATTTTGGTCAAGTCTTTGGGGCCAAAACCCATCCGCTTCAAAGTCTCGAAGTACATCACCTCCGAGGAACTCCCTGAATCAATCAAGATTCTCTTGACATCGAATTTCCCTATCTTCAGGGTTAAGACAAGGGCGTCGTTATGAGGAATCACCACGCCCGTCAAATCCGCGTCAGAGAACGTAATGCCAAGCTCACCCATCCTGGCCCTTTTGCTTGATGGCCCCACACCTCCTTCGGCTACCTTTCTGGTAAAAGCTACCCTCTTGAGGTCGGATTCGAGCTCTTTGGACGTGGGGCGCTCCAGTGGACACACATGGATGACGTCTATGACGTTGTTTGGTTCCTCGGTCGGGGCAGGGGCTCGTTTTTCTTCTGGCCTAGGCTCTATGTATTCTTTCAGGTATCCATCTCGGACTAAGCTCTCCAAGAATGACTTGAACACCCTGCAGCTCTCGGTGCGATGCCCGACATCCCGGTGATATGAACACCTTACTGTTTGATCACGGGTGGAGGGGTCGCTTTGCATCCTGGGCGGCCATTTGAAGAACGGCTCGCGTTTGATTTTATGGAGCAACCTGAAGATGGGTTCCTTGAAGACGGTGTGAACTCCTCTGGACGAACCCCCTGGACGGGGTAGCAATCCCTTCCGGGGAATATCTTCGTGCTCTTTTTCCTTTCTCTTGGGTTGGAGGGCTCGGCCTTTGTTGCTCCCCATCTCGTCCTCGACCCTTGAGTACTTGTTGATTCGGGCCATCAGTTCCCCCATATCCGAGGGAGTCTTTTTGGTCAGGGATCGGTACAGGTCCGTGTCCCTGGCCAAGCCGAGCCGGAATGATGCTGCTGCCATGACCTCCGAGCATCCCTCGACCTCATTGACTTCTTCCCAGTATCGGATGGCGTACTGGCGAAGAGTCTCGGATTCCCTCCTCCTGAGGGTCAGCAGTGATCCAATGTCCTTTGGGCGCTTACTCCCCGTGATGAATCGGGTTAGGAACTGCCTTGTCAATTCTTTCCAGGACCCAATACTGTTTGGGGGAAGCGCCTCGAACCACCTCATCGCGGAGTCCCCCAAGCTCATAGGGAATACCCGGCATAGAAACCGTTGGTCCGAATGATAGAGGGACATCATCTGCTTATACTGTCTGATATGGGCATCGGGATCAGATCGCCCATCATAGGTCTTGAACCGTGGCACGACGAACTTTCTTGAGACGTCCATCTCGCTGATTTCCCTCGTGAAGGGTGTTTGCATGACTTCGTCCTCGGCCTCGTCCTGGATCGTCTTGCCCTTTCTCCTGGAGTCTAATCGGGCTCTGAGATCTACTTCTTCCCTTACGGGATGCCTCCTGAAGTCTCTGGGTTCGTCGGTAAGCCCCTCGTTTCCTGGGCGTCGTGTAGATTGGGTTGAGTCCTCCTCGGATTCATCTCCCTTCCTCCGTCTGGATAAACCTCGCCGGAGGTCGTCCAGGGCCAATGGCCTTGCTTTCCTGGAATGGTTGTCAAGATGGCATTCGCCGGCTTTGGGTCGCTTCGGGGCCCTGGAGCTCTCTGCTTTGTGATCCAGGTGGTTCCTTAGATCCTTTGTCTCCGCCTCATGGACGGGGAGTCCTCGGGAGAGGAATGAATCCCTCGACCCTCCGCCTGAGGCAGCAAACTCGTCGAGCCGGCTAAGGACGTTTACATTGTCCTTCTCCAGCTGACGTAATCTATCGCCAAATTTCTCTTCAATCACCTCTGCCAGCTGACGGGCCAAGGGGGCTGATCCTCCTGACCTGATACCCATACTGGTTTGAGGGGTTACCCCCCTTGACCGAGTAGAGGCACTTTTAATCGTACTGGTGCGATCCCTCCCTCCGTGATGGCAGGGAGCTTGCAACTCATGACTCCGTTGGTGGGGTCCTTTCCCTTTCTGTCTGGTGTTCACCATGGTCACTGTTCTTTTTAGAGAAAAGATTAGGAAAACTACTCGTTTCCCACAGACGGCGCCAGATTGTGCGGGCTTGATCCTGCACGATATATAAAATATTGGGAACAGATCTCTCCCCTGGTGAACTTTGGGTGAGCCGATTGAGTGGCCAAACACACTGCTCGAAACAGCTTACGATCCTGGGAAAGGAGGAACGATCCTGTACGTGCGAAAGGTATTTCCTGGGACAAAAGAGAACAAGTTAGAAGGGCGCCGGAGTGTTTTCCGGCGTATCCCCTCCGACGGTCTAGTCAGTCTTTGAATGAGAGAGAGGAAGGAGAAAACACTGAGAAGGATATTTCGTAGTAGAGAGTTTGTGATTGCATACCCGTTTGCCTTTTTGGGAGGGGTATTTATACCTTAGAAGCTCATGATTGCTGTCAGTGTGGTCAGTAGGTGATCATCAGGCACTGGTAGCGTGTGTATTGATTTGATGAGGAATGTCTTCTCTAATTGACTGCTCGGGATCCCGAGCAATCAATGTTGAGTCGTCGGGACGCCGACGGTACAATATGCTCCTTTCGGGAAGGATGTAATAAATGCTCCGTAATAGGAGCATTTATTGCCTTTCATATCCGAACTTTACCGCATTGAATGCGGTCTCGTCAACAGAAGGGTGCAATTAATTGTTTGCTTTCCAAAGCGCATGTCAGCAATAGCGTGCGGTTTGCCTGTTTTTGATGTGATATCATATGCCACGCGTCCGTCACGTATTGGCTATGACTTCTGTACTTCAGCATGTTCTGACATTACTTGTGTAAGACGAGGTCATGATGAATAGTCTAGACTGGCATAGGCTGATGTCCCGTACGTCAGTAACTTTATCCGGGAGTAGAGGAAGCGTCCAGGATGGAGTGACCCTCGGTGCCGAGGAAAGGCTCACCTCGGGGGACCAAGGGGTGGTGTGTTCCCGAGGTACATGGTGACCGAGGACACATGTCATTGTGTACTGTACCGAATATGTGATCCTATATGAGAGGTACCTCGGGGGAGAGGACGCTTTGCCGATGGTGCTTGAACCCGAGCAACATTGTTCTAGAAACCCCCGAGGACACGTGTCTTCATCATAGGCTTTTTCAGAAGAGTCCCATCAGAAGTAAAGGCCGACCGTAATTAGAACCATATTGAAAACCATACTTTGCCAAAAAATCTCAAAAGCCTTCTTGAAATCTTGATCTAGATGGTAATTTCAATTCCAAGTAACACCATATGTCGTTTTAACCTCATTGATTGAAATTTGTGAAACCTCCTACAAGAAAATGACAAAAAGTAAGCCATGCAAACCAGATGCTACATAGAACTTTCCCTTATGTGGTTTGTCGTCGGTACCAGCTCTAACATTTAACAACTGTATTCATTTCTCACACAGTTCAACAAAATCTTTCAAAAACCTCGATCCCACCCAAGTGATATTCTAGATATTGGTTGCAGAAACTAGTAGACCACTAGTGGTGTGTCCATTATAGAGCATATGGCATCCAAGGCTCTGTCTCTTAATCCTCCTTGGGACCTTAGATTGATCGTCCAGAATTTGGTGGTTTTCTTGGAACCCATATGGCATAAACTGTTGGGTTTCCCTCCTTTGTGGGACTCATCAATTTGTTAATTTTTTTGGTGGCTTACCCGTGTATGACTTTTATCTAAGACTTGGTTTGGAGTCTTCAAGTTAAAAGGAATTTGGCAGCCACCAAAGACTATAAGTTTTGTCCTTTTCTTTGGTTCATCTCTTCTCTGTTGGTTTGGCAAGAAGACATATTTTCGGCAGTCTTTGGTTCAACAAAAATTCAGCCTTCTTCTTCTCCTTTTTGGTGCCAAAAAAATCTACAAATTTGTTCTTCAAGTGGGTAACATTTCTTCACTTGATATTTGGGTTTCTTGCGGTTTGTTCTTGGAGATTTGGTTCACTTATTTTGTGAGGTATTTTCCTCCTGTGATTTACACCTTGGTGTGTTTGTAAGGCTTATGCCTTTTGGCCACTTTGTAATCTGATTTGGTGATAGTGGAAGAAACTGACCTACCGGTCGTCGTGGATGTACCTCAAGTTATTTGAGGGAACCACGTAAATCTTGTGTGCTTATTTATTTTCTGTTATTTTATTTATATTGCTTCCATTGATTTACACTTGTGGAAAAACCTATTTTCCCAACATAAACTTGCCGGTAGAATTGCCACAACTATTCTCAAATTCATAACTAGTCACGCAATTACAATTACCAGATGCTTGAGTGACCTGATAAGAGCCTTTACCCGTCAGATAGGCAGCAGCAATTGCTTTTTTTGCACACTCAGCAGCTGCTTCAGCAACTAATGTTGTGTCTTCAAAATGCATGTTTTTCCTTTCTCCATCATTTGACAATCTGGAGAAAAAAATATTGTGGAACAATATAGACAACTTCTTTGTTTCATCCATTGTGTTTAGAAATGAATATGAGGAATCTAACGTTCAAAGTTAATCTACCACTCAAAAGCAAAATATTTTCGTATGAAATACTCCAATTGGTGTCTAAGTTACCTGTTTTTTTGATTATTTGGCTCAACAGATTGCTTTGTTGTACCCTTTACAGGCATGCTGTTGGCACTATATTTCCTTCAAAACCCTTCCCAACAAGCAACTAGAAACTTCAATGGAAACAAAAACATATAACTGCAAAGATGCACCCACAAGCAAGTGCATGTACCAGCTTTTAACGTGACAAATAGGTGTGACATTCCTAGAGAACATAAATTCAAAATCTTTCTTGGAATACTTTATCAATAACCCTCTCTTCCATTCTTTGAACCTTCTTCTTTGGTTTGGAAGAGTAAGTTATCTTTGATGGTACAAGTTTTTGCATAGTTAATTGCATATAAGAAATTAAATACTAATGAATTGCTCCAAAAAAAATGGGAGTCTTATTTTATTCAAGCACAATGGTGCATCCTTTGTAAGAAGAAGTTGAGTGCATTACTCATTTGTTCATTCATTGAGCTTTTGCCTCAAAGTTGTAGAATTGACTCTTGGTTGTCGTTGAGATCACTTGGGTAGTTTCACATAGTACGTTGATGTCTTTGGAATCATTTTCATAAAAGCATTTCACTGTCCATAAAAGCATTTCACACATTCATAGGAATCATTTTGACAACAAGCTGCTCACCTCAGAACATGAAGACAACATTCTTTCAAGGGCACCAACATTCTTGACCTGAATCTGTAGGTATGAATCCAGTAAGGCAAAGCACATACAATATAAGCACAGGTATTATCTCAAGTCAAATAGAAATTCCAGTGGAAATAATGAGCAAAAAATCCATCGTAGCACAAAAAACTCTTGAAGTATGACAATATTCAGTTTTTATCAACTCAGTATGAAGAATAGTCATGGTTCATCACAGAATAGAGAAGCATATGAAGACAGTCATGGATTCTCTTCTCCAAGAAAATCATTTAACATTTTCTGTAAGAACCACTCTTGTTCACATGAATGCTCTTCAATCAAAAAGATTGGTAAAAAACTTCGTTAAGTAGGGACATACCTGAAATTGATTGAATATTAAATAAGAGGAAATGATAAGACACGGTACCATCCTGTTTTTCATCTTCAAGCACAACAAACTTAATATCCGTTTCAATTTACTATCATGATCCGGATGGTATACTGGGATTGGTAGTTCAGTATATCCAAAATGACCTGAAATGAGAAACAGAGAAGAACTTCAGTTGTATTTTTGTGATTGCATAAAAAAGTAAGATAATTAGCACAAAGTTTTTCTGATAGTGAAAACTTGCTCACTGTCCACCAAAAAAAAATTGATAAGTAAAATAGAATTTCTACAAAAATTACAAAACCAAAAAAAGAATATTCTACATACCTTCACACTGCCCAAGTTCAGCAGTACCACAAGATTCACATTTACCAAATTCAAGGGGCAGACCAAGAAAGGGATTTGAGAGTTAACTAGCTGGTTTGGAACGATTTAGGGTAAAACAAAAGGGGAAAAATAGAAAATGCCCAGAAGTTGAAAAAAATCTAACTTTTATAGAAATGAAATTAAACCGGCATTCAAGTTTACTAACCGAACAATCCAATATATATAGAAAAAAGCAAAAAAAAAAAAAAAAACTTCAGATTGAGAGAAGAGAGATTAAAACCTGATTCAAGCTCTCACTCTGGAATTCAAAGATCGCCAATTAAAGCTAGGGTTATTGCTTCTACACAATGCCAATTCAAGCTACAGTTCTTGATTCTCCACAATGCCGATTCAAGCTCGCAGTGGAATCCAAAGTTTGACTTCAATTGGATATTTTTGAGACTTTGAGACTTCGATTGCCTTGAACAGAACTTTGAGCAAAACTTTGAGATTTCGATTGCCTAAAAATTCCAACAACGAGGGATGCTTCTCGATCAATCTCAATGCAGCACAGTAGAAATCGAGAGAGAGAGAAGAGACAGAAGGGGAGGAGGAGTCTAGAGATAGAGAGAGTGGCGCTAAAAAAGGGAAATCGAAGAGAGTGACACTGAGATAGAAGAGAGTGTCGCTGACAGATTTATTGTTTTGTTCTTTAAAAAAATTATTCTGCGACAAAAAATAAAATGTCGCAGTTAAAATTTTAATTTTGATTTAAAATTACAAAATTTAAATTTTGCAACAAATTTAAAAATGCAGCAACAATTAATTAAATTATTATTTTTTAAATTTTTTATTTATGTAAAAATTTATTTGCGACTTTTTTTTTAAAAACGTAGCAAAAAATTAATTAAATTATTATTTTTAAAATTTTTTAGTTACGTAAAAACTTTTTTGCAACGTTTTTAAAAAAATGTCGCAAAAAATTAATTAAATTATTTTTTTTTATTTAATTTGTCAATTCCTGCAATTTCTCCTGCCAAAAACAATTAGGAGGGAATCACCTTTTCGCGACGTTTTTTTAAACGTTGCAAAAAAATGTAAAAATAGAAATTTAGAATTTATTTTACTTTAAATTTTAGATTATTTATTTTGCGATGAGATAAAACTATTTGCGATGAAAAAATTTTGTCGTAAAAAATTGTCAATTTCTGCCATTTTTCCCTCAAAAAACAATTAGAAGGGAATCGCCTTTAAAAACGTCGCAAAAAAATTTACCAAAATAGAAATTTGCGATAAAATTAGAAAATTGTCGCGAATAGTAAACTTTTTGATACAAATTTAATATCGTCACAAAAAATATTTTTTGTTGTAGTGGCTCGTACCTATTTGAACGTAATATTCCACCACATTTAGAGTTAAAGTCTACAGCACCTACCAGTATTCAATGCGATAGTACTATATCCATACATAATATTAAGCCCTTACATAACTCGAACTCGTGATGTGATAATTTCTTTGATACCAATTGTTATGAATCCAATCGTTGATCCTAAAGCCCCAGAATATGTGGGGAGTTAGAGTTTATAATTATTTGAACGTATCACAGTCACTCTTATTTATTAGGGGGCAAGTTCTAAATTTGTTTGAGTTACGGTAGTTAATATCCAAGTTCGAGAGAATAGTCGATGAACACATGTAAGAAAAAAATAGGAAAATTTTGGCTACACCACTTTTAGTTTATTATATCTTTAAGAATACATCTTCTATTTTCTAAACCATCACTGACATCCTCGTCAAATTAGATGTGTTAATTAGAATGCAATTTTATTAACTTTTAGTCAATTAAAGATTATATTTTTTTATGTATTAAAATTTAAGATGATTAAAATTCTATTCGAGTCTCAAATTAAATTTTAATTAACTTGTATTAAATTTAAATCGGCCTGAATTTTCATAAAAAATATATAAATTTTAATCGACTGAAATTTTAATGTGCAAAAAATAAATTTTAATCAATTTGAATCAAATTTTAATATATAAAAAATATCAATTTTAATTGACTTGAAACGAATTTTAATTGGAACTAACAGTTCAAGTATAGCTCAAACCGACTCGAATTTTAATATGTAAAAAAAAGTTTTTAATATACTTGAATCTTAATAAATAAAAAAATAAAATTTAATCAACTCGAACTAAATTTTAATATATAAAAGAAAATTAATCAATTCAAATTTTTATATGTAAAAAAATAAATTTTAATTGACTTGAATTTTACATAAAAAAAATTGTTTGGGGTTAGTTTTTTAGATAATTTATTTTTGCTGTAAATGGTGTTTTGATGAAGAGATGTCGGTGATGTTTAAATATAAATTAGTATGGGTGTAAGTGATTTTTTGATAATAAAAAAAATATCCTTGAAGATATAATAAATTAAAAATGGGTGCGGCTGAAATTTTTTCAAAAAAAAAAAAATCGGATATCGTCATAATTAAGTCTATCAATAGGGTGTGGGTGAAAATTACAAGAAACATAGTTGAACCAACCAGTCATGGATGTCTGCAATCTTACGCCGAGTTAGAACATCTCCGGGAGATTCTGTAAAGCACAAAAATAATTAAAATTTAGTTAATTAAAACAAAAATTTATACTTTAACAGAATATGTTCAAATATTTTAAAATAAATTTTTACTACAGTGATACATTAAATATAGAGAATTAAATATAGAGAATCACTGTAATAATATGTAAAATTTGTTTATAATATTTTTTCTCTTTTCTTTTCTTTTTGTTCTATTTTTTTTTCTTTTTCTCTTTCACTATTTTTTTTAAAAAAATAATACAAAAAGGATGAGAAATAATATTTAAAAAAAGTAGTTAAAAACATAAAAAATTTGTTAAAATATGTATTAAAAAAATAAATAGTTAAAATAAAAAATATTATTTTTTGAATAATTAAAATAAATTTTGTTGTTGAAGGTGCTGTAGCTCCGTTCGAGGAGAGTGATCTTAAACTCCTCGAAATGTACGAATACGATCTTTCACTGTGCAATTTTCTCATCCACCGCCAACGCTCCCACCTTCCAAGTCCCAACTACGTCCCTCTCTCCCTCACTATATATAGACTTATAGGATCTCCTCAAATTGTTACTTAGAGTCTCTATTTTCTCCTCTACTCTTCAACTCTTAATTACCTTAAACGCTAGCTAATTCAAACTCTTCCAAATCCAAACCCCCATTCGTCCTTAACCCAGATCAATTAGGTTTCAACATGGAAAACCCAGCCCTAATTTTATCTCTCCCAACTCTCCCTCTCTTCATCTCAATGTATCTAATCGTCTACCTCACTGCCTACTTCATTATCTTCCGTAAATGGAACCATAAGCTACGACCCGAAGCTTCAAGCTGTGCAATTTCCCTGGCCCACGGCACACCCGCCGTTTTCTTAGCCTCTCAGTCCATTTTATCCTATCCAAATCGCAGTTTCGATTCCAAAAACACCGGTTACCAAAACCTAGTTCTCGATTATAGCATTGCATATTTTCTGATGGACCTTTTCCACTATTTAATGTTCTATCCTAGTGATATTCTCTTCATCGGCCACCATTTGGCAACACTCTTCGTCTTCATCACGTGCCGGTACGTGGTTTTTCATGGGGCTTATGCAATTCTTGTCCTTCTAATTCTTGCGGAGGTCACGAGCTTTTGCCAGAACGCCTGGACTCTCGCCGGTGCTCGGAGAAAGGATTTGGATTACGCCGCCAAAGTGTATGAATTTTTGTCTCCTCCGTTTTATGCTTTGTATTCTGTTGCTAGGGGTTTCGCTGGGCCGCTATTTTTGTACAATATGTTTGTGTTTTATTTGAGTGGGGCTGCAGATGAGGTGATTCCCAAATGGATTTGGGTTTCTTGGATTATTGTAGTTGGAATGGCTATTTCGGTTAGTATACTGTGGGTTTCTAATCTCTGGGTTGACCTGTATAGGGAAAGAAAGAGAAAACTTGGGAAGAAAATTAGATGACATAACAAATGGGTTTTGGTTTTGGGGTTCTTTGTAAGTTGTATCCATGGTAGTGCTGGTAGCTTAATACCATTGGTTTCGTTCTGAATTAGTTGAAAATTTTCAATAAACTCATTTGCTTCAACGGATTTACGTTTAATGCTCTGTATGTACCATAGTTGTTGTTTATTGATGCGATGAGTATGTTTGCTTTTTCCTTATCCCTGTAGTTGTTGAAATATTTCAAATTACGTTGGTAGTTTCAGTAGCTCCTTGTTGAAGATTTTTCACAAATTCTAATGCAACTTTTCGGGTACTATACCCAAAGTTACGATAACATATGGATTAGGATACCACTCTATTCAATCTGGGAGGTTACTACAAAATAAAATTGTTTAAAATTGATCCCAACTTTTTTGTGTCAAAACTTGATTTCATTTAGTTGTAACTGATATTTTTGAGTGGTAATTTTATTTCAAATGAGTTGTAACTTGCCCTTTTTGTATTTGTAAATTTCGGTACAAAATCTTACCCTTGTTACTATTGTTGTTCCACAAGTCAATGAAAGAGTCTGTGTCAGTACAACTGCCTTGCTTACAACTTATAGCTAAGTTCTGCTTTGGCCATCTGAAAGAGAAGACTATCGTCTCAACCAAACATATGGTGTAGCCCTTTTCTTCATTGTAAAGTATAGAGGTCGTTAGCTTCTTGGAAGAGGCTAAAGCAGAAATACATAATTCATTTTGTTGGTAGAATTAGAACGGTCTTAGAATTTGGAAAATTGGTTTTGCTTGTCATATGTCACAGGCAGTGGTTGGTGACATGCTTTCTGTTTGAAGCTTAGTCATTCATTGGTTTGCAAGAATAAAAAGGAATTGGAAACCGATAAGGAACAACTAAAAAATTAAGAAACTAGTTTTCTTTGTTTGGTAGCAAGCTGAAACATTTTACCTTCCCAAAAACGACAGCCAAAAAGTTTAGGTTTTATGAAGTTACCATTTGCCAACATTAAAGTTTCAGGTTAAAATGGTGGGAATGGGTTGTGTTAGGGTAGGTAGCTTTGGCCAACAAAGGTGGTTACAACATTTATTTTTATGTTGCTCTTTATTAATGCACTAAGATGGCAGTTGGATTTCCCAATCATACCTCTTTAGTAGAGTGATATTTTGATGGAGTTAGGGGCCCAGGACAGGATTTCCATCTCCCAGGTTTTTCTTCATTATCCTCTTTTTACTTATGGTTCCGATGTTTGTGAAACTGTGATTTCTCCTACATTGGAAACCTCGGTGGCACTTTGACGTGAACAAGTAAGCATTCAATGTAGATGTCCAGTGCATGACTACCCAACCAATTTTCTCAGCCAGCCTACCTGGAGATTTTAATGAATTAGAGGAAGCAACAACTATTATAAGAAAAAATGAAATCCAATTCAAGACCTTATCCACCAAATCTTCATTCTGACTAGAAGTTTGTCCACCACCACCACCCCTTTTGCGATCTTTTATACTCAATCTAGTGGTGGTAAGAGGCACTCCCAAAATGAACTACTCCTGCAATTTTCCCTCGGCCATACCAAAACAGATTAACCATTAGCCTCTCCAAGATATGCAGCATAGGCACATTGAGCTTTAAACTCAAGGAGTTCAAATTAAAAGCATTCTTCATATATTGAGTAGACTTTTTATCTACCTCTCTAAGCACAAACATATGATCAGCAAATCTAACATGTGTGGTATCTAACTTGGCACACCCTTTAACAGGGTAGTGTAGTTGATCAAAGCAACCACCTGAATTCCTGGCAGGAGGAGAAAGAAAAAAGGGGGGGGGTTGCTTGCTGGTGGCATCGTCCTCTTATGATTAGGATGGGATTACTGTGAGATTATCTCAACAAGCTAATTCCACCAAAACACGAGGATGAATTAACAGTTTCACCACACCTACGCGAAAAAGAAACATGAAGGGAAGTGTAAACACAATTTAGATTACAAAGAAATCAGTATGATTTGCTTTCAGCTGATTCCAGTGCACAATTAACAGAGCTTTTAGATGTTGCCATGGCCAAAATGCAAGTCGATATCTCTTGAATAGCTTATAGCCACGGCCATAAAAATAGGGAAAAAACAATACTCCATCATCATTCCAGCAAGAACTGGTGAAAACTCACTCTTATTGCACCCACATCCTATCATAAAAAGTCAATCTTATTGCATTAACATAAATCCTTTTTGGTGTTGGGAGATGTTTTAAGAGTAGAAATGGTAGTTCTTGGCTTGGTTTATGATATTCCTTAGCCCTCCAATTGGTGATAAAGTCATTAGCAGAAGGCCTAGTGTGATGCAAATCTGTAGTTCATCAAAGCCAAAACAGAATCAATCAACTTTTTCTTCTTGTCAAATCAACAGAAAAGTGATTGATTTGTAAATAATTCTTACCCAGTTAGCACACCAAGATAAGCTGAACTTCTTTGGTTTGTAAATTGCAAGCCACATGATGCAAGGAAGCTGGAAAAATATATACAATACAGATTGCCAATTTGAGATATCGTCATTGTTGGTCAATAAGCACAAAAAAAAAAAAAGGCAAGAAAGGTGTCATGTTAGATTGTTTGGCTTACAAAGTATGTTGTTGGGGCAAAAGCAAATCCCCCGAAAAACCCCAGAAGACCACCAAAGAACGGGAAGGTAATGGCTACGAACATTGTAAGTGCTGCAAAGAAAGAAGAATACTCCAGCTTATAATCAAATGAATTTCACCCTCATATCTATCCAATCTTTTTTTGAAATAGTTGGGTAGAAAATTTACTGACCCACGTAAATGTTCCGCGAAATAAACCGTAGTGTAGTGCTGGGTTTGAACCACAGTTTTTTCACCAGCACGGTTTCTATCATGTCAAAGACTGGCATGGCATATATCTACACTAACACAAATCAAGAAGAGAATTTGTTGAGTCTCTGTGGACATTGATCCGCATGAGAGGTAATCCAAGTACAATTTTGGATTGATAGCTACCTGATAACTTCCGATTACATGGACAACAACGAACATGTTAGCCATTGCAATAAGCCATGCAGGCCTCTCTAAGGAGATGAGTATATTGTCTTCGACTGAATTCCCAAACATCCGATACCCAATCAGGGCAACGGGGAAGTAGCACAAGGCAACGACGAAATATGCTATGAGCACTCCTTTCCACATTGGTCCTTTTGAAGGCTTGTCAGGTGTAGAAGGGATGGTTGCTTGGATCTCCAAGACGACGTTGTGGCCGGCATAGGCGAAAGCCACATCGCCCAAAGCAGTAAAGAAGTTAAACACAGTTCCTGGTGTGGTGGTTGCTTTGTAGCCATATTGCACATCTTCTTGCACACCCTTATGAACAGAGGCTGTCCAAGCGATTGTTGAGTAGCTGTATCATAACAACATTAGCCAAACCTCTTGATTTATGTAGATGAAATAGGATTAGGTAATTTAACCTATATAGTCTGTACATAGGGGACACAGCCTTTAATCTTTTTGCAATAATTCTACTCAATTGGGGTGTTCACAAGTAAAATTGTAAATTAACGGAGGTATTCCAGCACAATTATTAAATGAATCAAATTTTTATTCGAATTTGATTACTCAAAATATGAATTAGTCTCGAGTCTAAATCCAGACATGTAATACCACACTACATGGATTTTGTGGATCCACAACAAGAGCAAATATTGAATACAACTGTGATACCATGTTAGTAATGTGGACGTAGTATCACCAACCAATAATATGAAAACAAATAAGCAAATAGACTCTACTAAAATTAATAATCAATCTTCTATGTAAACAAATAACTATACATTTTTCCTTCACGTAATCAAATAATTATCCAAGTAGGGTTCACTGTACTCACTTGGTGTTTTATTATTAGTTGGTAATATCACGTCAACACTTCCACGTAATATCACCGTTGTAATGAATATTTTCTCCCAAAGCACAAATATGAAATATTTGTCTATATACAAGTATACAAGTGTTTAGGCATACGATGACAACAAATGATTATTTGATGAAATTATATTAAAATTTTGAATTGAATTGCTAAAATCAAATTATAATTGAGTTGTTCAAGTTAGATAATTTTAATGAATTCGGATATAGATTGTAAAAATCAAATTCATGGATTATTGGATTCAAATTCAAGTTTTAAAAACATTCAGATACGGTTTATAAACATAAAATCCTTCAAAAATTCGAATCATGTTCAAACCCAGGTTTTCAAATCTGATTTGGATCATAATTAAACCTAATTGTCAGCAAATTGAAATACATAAATAAGTATTCCTCAATTTTGTACCGGCCAGTGGATTTTAGTTCACCTATTGTGATCAGTTAGGTGACAAAAAGATAGTAAAAGAATGGAGTAGAAGAAGAGATGAGTAGTAGTGTACCTCAAAGACATGACCGCTGCAGCCAGAGAGACCCCAGAAATAGAGTTGAAGTTTGGAAGGTGCGAGAGCACGAAATGGACAGAAGCGAAGATCATTATGAAGTAGGTAAGTTTGAGTTTTTGGCAGCTTCCACACACTGTTTCATGGAACTTCTTCAGAGACTTCCCTCCAGTGACCATATAAACTATGTTCACACCAACTTCACAAACTAACTGCTGAGGTACAACAATATAAAGTCCCAGCTTTTCTCCAAAAGCATGCTGACCCAATTCATGGTATCGATCGAACCGCTTCCCCGGAACCATTTCATGCATCTCAACCATTTGCCATAAGGTGTATAAGGTGATGAGCCATGATAGTATTAGTATAACCACACCAGGCCCCCTAATTAATAGGAATTTTTTTTTATTGCTACAGAATTGATATGTGGAAAAATGAATTTGTTTTTGAGTAGATACAATACATACCATCCAAGAGCTGCCATGGCAGAAGGGAGACTTAAGACTCCAGCTCCAACCATGGCGGTGACATTGTGGAAAGCTGAGTACCACCATTTTGCGTTTCTTGATGAAGTGATCGGAAGCCAATCATCAATTGCCTTCTCCTCTGCTGTCCTTTCAATCTACAACATATGATAAAACATCAATTGCATCATATGGATGGGGAGTCCGGCAGGATTGAACTGAGAGAGAGAGAGAGAAAGAGAGTCTTTACATTAGTGGGTTTATACGATTCGTAATCAGCAGGAGCCGATGTGGGAATGAAAGAGTTATCATCATTTGGAGCTTGAGTTCCCATGGCTGTAGTTCACAAAACAGAGAGATCGATGCAGGGAAGATGATGAAGCACAAAACAAAAAATTAACTAAATACACATTTGTGTACAATGAACTTAGGAAATATCAAGATTGCCTATACAGCTGATTAGTCTGTCCTGCAGGCTGCAGTTCAGAGAGAGAGAGAGAAAGAGAAACTTGAATGATTTAAGTCATTGAGCAGTGAAGGATCTCATATGAACCAAATGAAGGCAAACAAGTATTTTGAAACTTATTGGCTTCAAGCACCACATACAATGTACGTATAATGATATAATAAAGCTCGGAAAAGGATGCAATGGGTGGTGATTGCTGCCGGCAGGAATAAAACAACTGTTCTTGTTAACATCGATTTAGATCGACTTCAAAGACAAAAAATAGCATTAAAAGATGTCGTTAAGTACTAAGGCAATTTAGAGATCGCCATCACAGAGAGAGGACACTAGCATGCAGCACAATGATGAAAGATGCAAGGAATCTTAACTGGTAGTTTTGGATACGGTTCCAGATACTCAGCCAGATTGTACACAACTAGCGTTTAGTTTAAGGCTTTTATTTGTGTCTAATGACCCTAACAACCTTAATTTTGTCGCGGGATTATTTTTTCGATTATCGAGCAAATCAAATAACTGCTTTGATGACATGGTAGAGTATCTGAAGGAGAGTTGGAAGTATCAGTTTGTTTTTCTCTTGATATCTAAGCAGCAAGACAGGAAGTCTCGAGGGAAAATGTAACACATTCCTCTTTCCATGATTAGCAAGTTTGAATTGCAGTCCATTTCCTTGTCATTTGTTTCATTATTCTTGTTGTAGGATGGATTTGACAAGTAGCTCACTCTTCAATTTAAGGTGGGTTAGGAAAATACCATGCTTACCAAAAAATTTTACCAAATCTTTCATCTCAAATGATGTGGCACAGTTTCTGTCATTAAATATTAATGAGACCCACTTATTTGATGGCAAAAAACTGTGACATGTCATTTCAGATGGAGATTTGATAAAAAAAATTGATAAGCATAACATTTTGTGGGGACAAAAAAAATTGATCTTAGTTGATTTGGCCTAAGCATTTTTGTGATGCAATTGATTGTACTGAAAATGTCAGAGCAACTATCAGGCTGAATTGATCATTATTGAGCATGTAGGAAGGAAAATTGCAAATTGTTTTCTGAATGTGTCCTGCAAGGGGCAAGGCATGAATTTCGGTTCTCAGATGAACAAGAAAAGAGCAATATGATGAAAACTGCAAGTTTATACTTTATAATGAGTTGTGACAAATTGTCAGGATAGTTTGGAGAGGAAATTGATAGTTTAGTACAGGAAGACAGAGAATAAAAACAGTAGTAGCAAAACACGACAGTCGCAAACCACCTGGAAATTGTATATCAGTTAAGCAGGTGATCTTGTTTTCTGGAACTCCTCAATTTTTTGCATTAGAATTACCAACAATTTGAATGATTACATAGAAATTGCATTCAGAAAAACAGAATATTGTACTCATCATAATCTCAGAAGACTTTGGAACCCACCTTCATTTCAGCTATAAAAATCAAAACATGAAAATACTCAAAGGTATGTATACACACGATAATTAGGGGGAAAAAAAAAGAAAAAGAAAAACAGCAACAGTAAAGGCCTCCAGAGAAAGCTGTTCAGCTGATCCCATGGCCCCAATTCCGTTTCTATAGAAACAACGATGTATTCATAGTCCAGAAATCCTAGTGAGGTTCGTCCAGTGATTGCTTGACAAAACCCGCCCATTTATCATTCTGGTCATTGTCTGTATGATCAGGCTCTGCTTCAATATTATTGTAAGATTCTTGAACCGCTTCTTCCTTTGTGGTTGCCGGACGCTTAAGAGTAGAATGAATAGCCCTTGGCTTGAAGTATGATCTGCCTTAGCCCTCCAATTGGTGATAAAACCATCAAAAGAACTCCCAACACAATGCAGATCTGAATTTAATTCCGAAGCCACGTCAAATTAAACAAGCTTGAGAGAGAGACAGAGAGAGAGAGAGAGAGAGAGATGGGACATTTCAAATGGCACAACATACCCAATTAGCAATCCAAGATAGGCTGAATTTCCTTGGTTTGTAGATAGCGAGCCACATGATGCAAGGGAGCTGGGGACAGACAGAAAAGATATATCAAGAACTGATATGATGTCTTAGTTGCAGTGACAAGAAGAGATCGAGAGTTGCTTACGAAGTAAGTTGTTGGGGCAAAGGCAAATCCTCCGAAGAATGAAAGAAGACCACCAAAGAATGGGAAGGTAATACCAACAAACATTGTGAATGCTGTAAGCAAAGAAATATATATATCAGCTTTAAAGGAAATATATCTGCAGTGATACCACAAGCTTCTGAATATGAAGCAGTAAGGGGAAAAATGGGTTGGTAACTTACCAACATATAAATTTCTTGTAATAAAGCGAAGCATGAAACTTGGCCTGAACTTCAATTTCTTTACCAGCACAGTTTCTAACATGTCAAAGACTGGCATCGCATAAATCTACATAAAAGCAAATTGAACACAATTTGGAAAACACTCATCTTATATTTGAACTGGTCAGTGAAATTTTTTTTTCTGTTTTTGAAATAGCTGAAAAAGTTTGCCTCGAACCTGATAGCTTCCAATAACATGAATGACAACAAACATGTTAGCCATTGCAATGAGCCACACAGGTTTCTCTAACGAAATGAGGATATTGTCTACCACGGAATTCCCAAAAATATAATATCCGATAAGAGCAACAGGGAAGTAGCACAAGGCCACAACTATATAGGCAACAATCACTCCCCTCCACATTGGCCCCTTGGATGGCTTCTCAGGTGTGGAAGGAATTGTTGCCTGAATCTCCAAGACCACATTGTGCCCAGCATAGGCAAAAGCGACATCACCCAAGGCTCCAAAGAAATCAAAAACTTTGCCTGCTGTGCTCTTAGCTTTGTAGCTGTATTGTACATCCGGTACTACACCTTTGTCAATTGAAGTCGTCCAGGCAATAGTAGAGTAGCTGTGTGGCAACAAGATCAAACGTGTTATGCTTGAAACAAGGCAAATGTTTGTTTTTTAGGCGCTTGTATGGCAGCAGTTAAAGGTTGATAAACAGATTCAATAGGTTGACTATTTTTCTCGGCACCTTATAATCTCTGTAGCAGAAGCTCACTAGCCAGAAGCGTGGTTTTTAATCATGTGCTACAGTAACATAAAAATAATTTCCCAACAATATGATAAAATTGCATAGAGGAAACATAATAATATACCTCAAAGACATGACTGCTGCTGCCAAAGACACACCAGAAATGGAGTTGAAGTTTGGGAGATGGGAGAGAACAAAATGGACAGAGGAAAAGATCATAATGAAGTAAGTGAGTTTGATACTTTTGCAATCTTTGCACACTATATCATGGAATTTCTTCAGTGATCTCCCTCCAGTGACCATATAGACTATGTTAACACCAACTTCTACAATTAGCTGTTGGGGCACTACTATCCATAGACCAAGCTTTTCACCAAAAGCATGCTGACCAAGCTCATGGTATCTGTCGAAACGCTTCCCAGGTACCATTTCATGCATCTCAACCATTTGCCATAAAGTGTATAGAGTGACAACCCAAGATATGACCAACACAGTTACACCAGGTCCCCTGCAAAATGACAACTCGTTTCAAAATCGAGACATTTCATGCACAAAATTCAAAGCATGCCTAGATAAATTAAATCATAGTCTTTTAAAAGTTTATGTTGGAAAGGTTATGACAAAGCTGTCTAAAGTTTCAAATATTATCAGACACAATTCTATTGGTCTCAATTTGATCATACCATCCCAGTTCTGCCATGGCAAACGGGAGACCCAGGACACCAGCTCCAACCATGGCAGTGACATTGTGGAAGGCTGAGTACCACCATTTTGCATTCCTTGATGAAGTAATAGGAAGCCAGTCATCAATTGCCTTTTCCTTTGCAGTTCGTTCATCAACCTGGAATTGATGAAGACATTTCTTTCATCAAATTTTGCATGCTTTTCACAGAAGGATCAAACTACATAATCCATACTATGCTGTTCAACCAGTAATTTAGAAATATCAATGTGTAAGCTTCAGACTTAACGACTCGATCAAATTGATAAACAACAAATTAAAACAGCAGGTCTTCTGTTGCCCCCCCCCCCCCTTTTTTTGTCATATTGCTGGATGAATCAGTGGTATTTTCGAAATTCACAATACCATTTGTTGGCAATCAAATAATTTTTTTTTTTTGTTAATGTTTTTGGTAGTAGCTGTTAACTCAGAAGTGAACAATTATTTACCTTCTTTCTCAGTTGTAAGTTATGATTGTAATTTTTTTTTAACATATTATAGGGAAGTATCAAAGAAACATCAGCAATAGAGATGTTCAAAATAATATTTGATTCAGGAAATATAAACAATGAAATGAATGAATCCACCTTCCATATATATATATATATATATTACAGGCAACTTGGCAGAGAATATGCAAAGTTGCCAGCCGTCCTAATTAATATTGGATTTCCAAAATCCGTTACACTCTACGTGATGACCAGGATGTAGCAAACCATGTGGTTGAGCCTAATCCCAATCCTAATCCTAATCCTAATCCTAATCTTAATCCTAATAAATATGAATTAGGTGAAACCCGAAAGCACATGGTTGTCTCTTAAATTCGGTTATTTTTAATCAGATATATATTTTCCATCAACTTTTTTAATGGTATGTCAATTATAGTGAATTCAATTGTGACACATATCATATCTGTAAATGTAAATGTTTCTAAAGGGGATTGATCCAATCAGAGGGAAGTCAAGGAATCAGTGGCACAAAAGACGGTGAGACCATAGGATGGATGATAGTGAAGCAAGGTAGTGTATGAAAACAAAACATGAGCAAATATCATTAGATTGGAGGAGGATGGGATGGCCTACTATTATACCAAGTTTTTTGGGTCAACTTTGAAAAACTCTATTATTATATTGTTGTGTGTTTAATATGTTGCCAGCTAGAATCTTTTATGAATCAAGCTGGCTGCTGTTGCCGTAAGTTGAACGACGACTCTAGAAGGGTTCCAGTCCAACTAGGTTGTTTCATCCTATCGTGTTGCCCGTGGTGGGATGGGATCCTATTCCCTTTACTGTAGAGGAAAACAATAATAATGTGTCCCCTCGAATTTTTATTTTTTATTTTTTTTTAGTTCAATGGTCGTGGGATCAACTTATACGCATTTTGAAGTTTGATTAAACACAAATCATTTCCGTCGGAACTAAAAAATTCACCAAGAATGAATTCTTGGTGACTTGACCCAAAAAATTTGAGTGACGCTGTCCACAGCTCGCATCTATTGAATCTTGAAAAAAGAAGGTAAAAATTTGAAAAGGGTATTGAAAGAGGGAGGGCCTAGCAAGTAGCTAAGGAAGGACAATTGTCTATAATTTGTGAAGGAAGATGAACTGTATGCACATGAACCGATTTGTATTATTCAGGTTTATTGCTACTTTGTTCTGAAAGGGCTAAACACAGAGTTAAATTTTCTTGCGCCAGAATATGATGTTCTAACCACAAGAAAAGGAGGAAAAGTCCAAATTCTCTCTTTTATTATGTCGATGCGCAAAACTGTAGATTAAAGATAAAGAACTCCAACAAATTTGTGTACTACTAGGACGAAAGCATTACAGGCCTCCATTAATGTCTATTAACTGTAGAGAGAGAGAGAGAGAGAGAGAGAGAGATGTGCTCACATTATTGGAGTAATAATTCTGGTCAGTTGGAGCTTGAGTTCCCATGGCTGTACAGCGCCAGAAAAACAAGGGAGACGAAACAGAGGAGAACGAAGACGAGTTCCAAAAGACACCAAAATGATTTGGCACTTGTACTCTGAAAATATAGAAACGTCAGTGTTATATGGAGAGAGAGAGTCTGGAAGTTAACGTTTTTGTTTGACTTTGAAGAGTCTTAGATGAAGACAACGGTGTTATATTTTTGAAAAATGCTTTATATACCAAAATTTTTAGATGTTGAAATCTGGCCACATCCTCGTATTATTTAGATTTTATGCTCTATCACTGACCGATTATTTTCTTTTCTCTGTTTTGTTTTTTATTTAACGGTCAAGGATATTTAGGTCAAGTTACGCGCACCTCGATTAATCTTTTTCCTAAAAGTGTCAAATTATGTCATCTACGTTAGGACTAGAGTATTTATGAGAGATAAATCTCTCATGACCTAGCTCCAAAGAATTGTCAAAATTTGAATCTAACCAAAACTTCCTGTTATACGGCTCGTCTCTATTAACACTTGAACTCTTCTTTGGAGTTTCTGAAGATTATTTTCAACCACGATCATTTATCAGCCCAAAATAAAAAACGATTACATTAATTTTACCCTCTTTGTTTTTTTAACCTGTGTGATACCCTAAAACCACCATGACAAAGAAGAATAATGATGTGTATATTAAATTTTAAATACCAAATGATGTGGCTTGTTGACAACCATCGGATGATTAGTGAAAATCAGTATGACCCACTAATTCAACCACTGATACTGATTGATTGTTAAGAAAATTTTGGTAAAAGAGTTTTACTTATAACTACAATTATAAGGCCTTTATTTTTTGTTCTCTTCAAATATCCTTGTAGGAAAGTCTGCTTTCCAATGGATTTTTCTGCTTTATCAATTGCCAAGTACTATTCATGTTACATAACTTACAGTGACAAGTTAGTGAAAACAGAGATACAGTCCATCCTTTTTTTGGTTTTACATCCTTGGTTTATGTGGTTTTTCCTATGTTCGTTTTCTATTCATGTGACGTCCACAGAAACGGCAATCAGACGAAAGGGGTTCACATAGGCTGATTTTTGCATTATAGTTGACAAATTACTCAAACCGATTAATACGCTGCTTATCATAATGTCAAATGAAGAATTATATGCCAGCATGTGCGTCTCACGAGGTCTCCTCGATGTAAACGCAATGTACATGTTTAAACTTTTAGAACCCTAACTTAAGGATAGACAGTTAGAGATCTTTGGGCCGTTTTGATATATACACAATTCACAAAAAAGATAGTTTAATACAGAACACTCTCTAATTTTATAAGATTGGTGAGCTTTGCATGAAATTTACAAGTCCTCTGCTTCTTTTGTGATGGGCGGTCTATTGACTTATCATCATCGTTATGAACTGGAATTCACCAACTGGATACTTTTTGAATGAGTTTTTTTCAATTTCAGACAACTAAGTACTGCGAGTGATGTTTAAGGTGCATAAAACTGGTTTTCAACATTCAAACTTCAGACACGTGACGCAATTGCCGTCCGTCTTTTGAGCCTCCTTTTGCTCTCTAGTGTCTGAATTTGATTTCCAAGCACACACACAGAGACAAAATAAAGTGGAAGATGAGAAGTTTGACTTTTAATAACTATCTTTTAAATAAAAGCATCCATAGAATCTCTCATCCTCAATAAATAATAATTTCACCACGTATAGTTTGAAAGCAACGAGATCGAGTTTACCTAGCCTAATTCACCGTAAGATTACATGTAATATTCGTGATTTTGATATTAATGTTCAATTTGGTATGATAAAAAATTGAAAGGATAGAAAATTGGAAAGATAAAAAAAGTTGAAGGGATAAATAAAACATCATGTTTGATAAGAAAATAAAATAGGAAGAGTGGAAAAGTGGATGAATTAACTTTTCTTCTAACTCATCAAAATCAATCCCTCTAAAATCAAAAAGAAAGCGGATGAAAAATTAATTATTTATATTGAGATTTATCTTATTTTTCTATATATATTTTGATATATATATATTATGTATACATTAATTTAATATAAAAATACAATGATAAAATATATATTTATATATGTATTTTTAAAAAAAATTAAAAAATTAAAATTAAAAATTAAAAATTAAATTTTTTTTTTTTCATCTTAGTTAAGGTTGAAAATTTTCAACTCAACACGATGACATAATTTGAACTTTATACGAATTTTACGATACGAACTTGAAAATAACCTAACACCCGAATAAGAAAAAATATAATTATTATATAAAAAAATATTTTTACTTATTGTTATTATTATATTTATTTAATTTAATTTTTAGTTTGTAGAAAAAATATTAAAATGAATTCAATTAAGTAAAAATAGAATATTAGCGTTAAATTTTTTATTCAAAATTTATATGAATCAACACAAACACGAACACAACACGAAAATAAACAGGTCAACTAGCAATTCGATGCAACTCAATTAGTTAAATGAGTTGAGTTATGTTTGATTAATGTTCAACACAAATTCGTAATAACTCAAACACGAATCTGACATAACACGACTAGATTATCACCTCTAATCTTGACCACTACAAAAAAAAATTAGTAATTTTTTATTTTCCATTTATCCAACGAAACACAAAGGAAGAAAAATATATCATTTCTATTTTCCTTCCTTGAAAGATAGAAAATGTTTCACTCCTACTTTCCATCCTTCCTACTTTCTATGTTTCTATTTTTCTATCATACCAAACAGAGCATTAAGCAAGTGATTTGATTGAAAAATGTAAATAAACAAAGTGTAATATAATAAATTAATTGATTTTGTTTAATTCCTTCAATTAAAAATTTTTGATTCAAGAGGAAACGATGTAATTTCTGAAATCACAAGGACAAGAATCTGTCCGCCCCTGAAAACACCACTTCTCATCCTACTTGCATTGGCAAAATTGCAATGTGTGATGTAAAATAACTTTGAAGCTCAAGAATACCTTTGTCTAATTTTTCAAATGCTGTTTTATATGCATTAAGTGGTCAAATAGACGCTGATGAGTGATGACCAAAAGTTCCGTTCATACAGAATCTTCCTCCTCCCATTTGTTCTTATACTTAAATCAACGAGTGTGGGACTCATCTTAAGCATCAGCCTATTCTTGGAAACTTGCTAGTTGCTTCTGCACCAAGTGGGCTGTGTACCCATCAAGCTCAAAGTGTATTAGGTGAGGAATGAACCACACGATTCTTACACCTTTTTGGAACATTCAGAGTAAGTGCACAACGACTTGGACTAAGATATTCAAGTCAACACTATCTGCCATATGGGCATTCAGCTTTTTGCGTATTGGTCGACAGTTGTACAGCGACGTAAGGGAGTTTTTGGAATGAATTTAATGACTAATGAATTATACACATGGAGTAAATTAAGACAACTTTTGCAAAACTCATACTTTGAGCCGCGTAAAAGTTGATAGTATTTCATTACGAATTACCGACACACGTTACGTGTTAAACATTTATCAGTGTTAAGTTGAATAACTAAAAGTTTTGTGACTTAATAGATTATCTACTTGAAGCTTAACCATAGTAGAAATCAGTCAACCTAGTTAGGCCAACTTAGTTTGAACACAGGCAACGACTATGTCATTGTCCATTGTCCATTGTCCACAGCTTTGAATAGCCTCCAAATCAGTGAGAAGGTTGTCAATTAATTACAAGAGAAAACTGGTTCCCTTCTTCCTCTTCTTCCTCCTCCTCCTCCTCCAAGTCATAGTATATCCTATCTTAAAAACACAGGGCAGGACTAACATAATCGAAACCTCTAACATATTCCTTTCAACTCTATCCAGAAAATGTTTAGAAAATTATTTATGAGGGTTATTACACTACGTACTAACTCTTTAGTCACGTTCAAGTTTGAATTTAGGTTCAACTATAATTTTTTCAAGTTGATTTTATCAATACGAATACAAAAATGTCATGCTCATGGACCTCACCACCATTGAAAATTGTGGTTGGAATGCCCTGATGATGTTACTTGTACGGTAAAAATGGGTCGAATATTATTAATTAAAATTAAAAGTGGATACTTTTTATTGGTTTAACACAATAAATAATTAACATAAGTAATACTTATTAGAAGATAGAAGATTCAAATAAAGGAAAACAATAAATAATATGACACAAATATATAACGTGGTTCGATACAATATGCTCATATTAGTATACCGTACCTACATACACGGACCAAAAATCTACACCGATGTATTATTCACTGAACTGGTCATCTGGTAGCTGATTACATAATACTCAACCTTATTTATAGGGATAAAATATTATAATCCATAACTATTTAGATACAACTTTATCCTTATTTTTCCTATCACATTTCTAGCAAACCTATTTATGGTATATTAAAACTCTTCAAATATAATCATATTTTATATATGATTCTCACATTAATTATCCAACAAACTCTCAGTCATGATAACTAAGGAGTTTGAGTCAAATTCCAAGAGTCTCTCTTGAATCAACCTCTTCAAATTTGGTCATGCCCATGATCAAGCTTATCACCATTAATTCTGATTCATCAATTTTTTTAAGCACTACGTGCAAACCTGCTCTTCAAAGTCGCTGCAATTCTCTCTGTCTTTTAAGAGCATGCATCTTGACCTGCATCATTTGTGCATTTTTGCCCGTGTCTTACTTGCTCTTGGAATGTTTCACCATTCAAAAATAAAAACCTAGTGACTCGTAATCCACGAGACACCAAATCATCACTATTGAGTTTATATCAACTCAATAACTCCCAAATCATTGGAATACCGCAATATCAACTCAAAAAGCCAAAAAAAATTGAAGAAATGTCTTCAACAAAGCACATGTGGTAATTCTTGAAATCCACACAATCAGAAAGCAACTTAATTTTTTTGTTTGATTTCATACCAACTTTATTTTATTTTATTTTTTTTGTGAATCTAAATATGAATTGTTCATATGTGGCAAGAGAATATTCTTTAACATGAACATCAACTTGATCATTGAAGCGCTAATAACTTGTTTTGATTGTTGCACTAGGATCATTAATCTAGTTTT